CATCATCATCAGCAGCAGCAGCCATGTTGTATCCACTGCTGGATGAATGTCTTTCCACGGCGCCGCCAATCCCCAGTCCTCTGCGCTGCCGTAATTCGACCGTGCTCCTTCCTGTGGCTGCCATTCTCTAACCAGTCTCGTCCATCTGATATCGATCCCTTACGATGAGGCATCCTGTGGCCAAATGCCGCCTCGAGTCCTCTTCTTAGCAGTCGACGACCGCATGTTGAACTTCTGATTTTCGCACCGCACGTAACCAAACCGCGCTCTCGTCAAAAGTGGGTGCGGGCAACGACCGCGTCTCTAACTCGTCACACTTTGCCCGCCGGTCGGACGCATCTTTTCGTTCCAACGTATCTCAGTTTTGTCAATTCCGGCGTGAATCTTGTGCGGGCGTCCGCGAGACGTCTCTTCGGATTTGAGTTCCGCGTTCCACGCGCCACAGTCCCCCACGTGTCGCTGATTCGAGGCGCGTGTCACGGCGGCTTCGATTCCCCTCTCAAGTTAAAACTCCCTTCTCTAAGCACGTCGTTTAAAGCCGCTATGAGCTTTTATTTATTTATTGTTCGTCAATTCATCTTCTTGGTTCTTTCGGTAAAGTCACGTAGAAGGAAAGTAATAAAATAATAAAAATAAAACATAATAAAACAATTCTCACGACGTTTCGGCCACAACGCAAGCAGCCGTCCTCAGGTGAAAACCAGGTCTGTCGGGCAGACAGCGTTCAGACGCTGTCTGCCCGACAGACCTGAGGACGGCTGCTTGCGTTGTGGCGAAACGTCGTGAGAATTATTTTATTATGTTTTATTTTTATTATTGTATTATTTCCCTTCTACGTGACTTTACCGAAAGAACCAAGAAGAGGAATCCCTGCAGTCACGAAAGCTTTAAATCGAAATGCTCGTCAATTGTTGATGTTCCAAAGGCGCTCTTCCATTACTCCATGCACTCGCTCGCCTCTATCATTCCCCCTCTATCACCTAAAATGCTTTCCCCAATAATAACAAAATGCGCACACGTTTCTGGTCGCCGGTGTTCTGTTTCGCCTGCTGTGTCCCGTCGACAGTTACGTGATTTGGTTTCGTGAGCTTGTCCGAGACTTTGCTCACGTTCATAGTAAACAATTCCTCCGGATGTCGCCCATTGCCGTTGGTTGCTGTCATTTGACACGTGGACGTTCACAACCAATCCGGCGATGTCACGATTCACGATCAGTTGATTTTGGTTTCGATCGTGTAGATGGTATGAAATGTCAATTGTTTATTCTAGATTTGAAGTTTTCGTGACTGCAAGGATCCATACTCTTGGTCCTGTCGGTAAAGTCACGTGGGTAGGAACGCGTCCCCAGTCCCTCGCTCCCTATCCCCCCCTCCGCCCCCCCCCCGACACACCCCCCTCTTTGACTTATACAGCCTCCTGGCATCTCTCCCACTTTAATATAAATCTTCTTGCCGTGGTGTTCACACCTCATGGCGATTGCTTGTGTTGCAATCGGAACGTCGTGATTTAATTTTATTTATTTTTATCTTTAATTTTATTTTTATCTATTATTTTCTCTACCTACTTGACTTTACCGAAAGAACCAAGAGTATGTCAATTGTTTATTTTCACTATAGCCCTTCACCACCCGACACGGCCAATTAAATCAAGTTGTCCATGTGCACGTGCAAAATGTTGATACATTTGATATATTTTTCAAGATAACTTTTACTTTCTTTCCAACTCTCCTCCTCTTCTGCTGGGACACCAACTAAATTGGCGTATTTGTCCACGTGACAACTTGCATTGATTGTCTCTGCCGGTTGTTTACGACTATTGATATTTCCCCAATGATAGCTGAGGTTGATCGTAGTATCGCCGCTTACCTCTCTACGATGCCTCAATGTCTCCAAACTACGTTTCAGAAAATATCTTCCAACGTTGCTGCGAAAGGTCCGTGCAGAGAGTGCAATCCCCCTCCTCCTCGCTCGACTCGCCCCACGATTTATATTGCATCACCATCGTCATGCAATCTCAGTGTGTATTCTTCCAACATTCTAAAGTATTTAAATAATTTCTACACATCATCATTGTTATTATAGCCTGGATTCGGTCTACCTTGGATGCATGACTGCATTCATTTCCACCGAATCAAGTTCCTTTTCGTAAGTGCACAGAGAGTCAGAGAGTAACGGTATTTGGCATCGCCTTTTTAGAATCAGCATTATAGTACAGCACGCATATGGCCAGTGGAAGAAAACAAGCAATCGATACGGAAATGATGAGGAAGGAAAAGTACAACATCATAACGGGAAAAGAAGATGTAGCTGTTTCAGCAGAAGCAATCGTAGCTGCGCGAATGAGCAAAGCAAGACATTTGTAGTTGGAACATCACTTAGAATAGCCCTTAGAGACCAGGACACCACTCATACTGCACGAAACGGGAGAGGGGGAAAAAAATCACAAAAAAACCTCGTGCAGTAATTATATGCAGATCTTTAGATACATCGTACTAAATTAGAAAAACAAAACCGTCTGGCTGGATTCCTGTCTGTCTGGGTGGCCCTTTAGTGTGCGTTGGTGACGTCACCGCGCACGTTACCAGGTGAGGTTGCAACACGTGACCAGTTCACCTATGCCCCTTTGCAATTCGACAACGGGCCCTCGCTTCCGTATGGGCAGATTTAATATCGGCGGCGCAGCATCAAAGAGGCGCAGTTGTTGCTGTAATCTCGTTAATGAGCGGGCATGTTGACTGGACGTTTTGGGCATGAAACCGAAATGCCTCGGATATCCCCTCACTCTTTGACAAAGGGGGGGGCCACATCGAATCGCAGAATGACATCACTTCTATATACAACATTGTCTTCATATATGTAGGCCATCTACTCACATACACACACACACGTCAATAAACGGTTCACTAAGATTCCGGAACAAAACTAAAGCAGGTAAATGTCAATTTACCGGAGGTAACCAACCATGAGAACGCGCAAGCTGATCATGGAGAATATGCCTCTCTAATATTTGGCCACATGAGAGTGATGCACGCTTTCATTGCTGTTCATACTGAAGCTCAACGTCTGCTCGTCAATTGTAGTTCAGACTGAACGGTGGATGCGCCATGGGAACCGAAATGCGATCGTCTCATGGAAATTCTTTCATTGTCATCGCTCGCGCAGATGAACAACATGACATGTCCTTTTTATTGTTTAAACATTAGACTAAGTGAAGATTATTTTATTTAAATTATTGGGAAAAAAAATCAACAACGAGACGTCTATTGTACAAATGCATACGTTAGTCCGAGAAAACCAGCCTTCACTGATAGCCAAACAAATGCTTCTATGACATCATATCATAATCAGAAATAAACTTGACACGTTTAATACAAACACGGACAGTTGTAATCATCGCGAAAACGGTGGCCGAAACGACAGTAAAAAAAAATCACAGCTGAGCGCGGCGGAAGTTGCTCATCATCGAGAAATACTTTAAGCTCTGGAGGGGGGAAAACAATTTTTAAAAAATCATAAAAATTACTCATCTCATAATACGACTCAAACATCACGCGTTCTCTCTCCTAACACTGGGCGGGCAAAACCCAGGGAGAAACGCACGGCTGAGATGGCTGTAATAAAACCTCGACACACTCAGCAATAACACTGCTCTTAAGAAAAAACCAATACACAGTACACACAATATTTCCTTAAGTGATTGCCAACGCAGTATCACCACTGCCAACACCGCATCACAATACTGTATGTGTTAGTTTTATATATATGTGTGTGTATATGTGTGTGTGTGTATATATGTGTGTATGTGTGTGTATATATGTGTGTGTGTGTATGTGTGTGTGTTGGAGCGGTAGTGTAGCGGTTAGCGCGCTGCGCTATGAACCTGGAGACCCGGGTTCGATTCCCGCTCACGGCTAACACCAGTGACGATTATCTGAACCGGTCCTGGGCCTCCCCTAGGTCGACTCAGCCTTAAATGAGTACCTGGTGCTGTGTAAACATCGCCACTAGGGAGACATAGGCGGTCGGGCGTGGTGCTGGCCACCCACCCCCTCGTGTACCGTTCCGGCCTTCATAGGTGCTCGCTAACAGCACTTGCCCCTACAGTCTGTTCAGGCTATACGGGGGATCTTTGTGTGTGTAGGAAGAGCACGGAATGAGGGAGCAGTCACGCGTCTGTTTTCGATCGGGTCCACGCTCGCTTCGCGGATCACGTCACTGAGTGTCGGGAGAGGTGACGCGGGTTGCAGCAGCAGCAACAGCAGCAGCAGCAACAGCAGCAGCAGCAACAGTAACATCAGCAGCAGTAACAGCAGTAACATCAGCAGCAGCAGCAGCAACAGCAGCAACAGCAGCAACAGCAGCAACAGCAGCAACAGCAGTAACAACATCAGTAACATCAGCAGCAGTAACATCAGCAGCAACAGCAGCAGCAGTAACATCAGTAACATCAGCAGAAACAGCAGCAGCACTAACAACAGCAGTAACATCAGCAGCAGCAACATCAGCAACCTCAGCAACAGCAGCAACAGCAGCAACGATGTGGAGCGAGGAATGATTGTGTAGGAGGGAAGGGAATCAAGAGCGCTACGGTGGCACACAAGAACGCTCCCTCACCACCACCACGGACGGAGGGAGGGATTGGTACACGGAGCCCGGAGCCGTCGGCCAATGACCGCGCGCCACTACCACAAATCCCTGCCCTTGACACGAAAAGAAACCCCTCTCACCCTTAACCCAAAACCCGCACACGAGAGCGCCCTCACACTCCTTACGCACGCACGGAAAGCATTCAAAAAACTCCCCCATCCACCCTAACTCCCCACCAAGACTCAAACAGCATCAGTAGCAGCAGCAGTCGTTTTGCATTTGCGATTCTCCAGGCAAGGAATTGGTTGGCCGCTGAGTCCATGCGTAAGGGATGACTTACGGTAAACATTGTGCCCCCCCCCCCCCTGTCCTATTCCCTCACCCTCCCATCCCCCACCACCAACAAATCCACGTTCATCGTCACAAGTAGCGCGGCACAACGAGTAACACTTCGTTTTTTTGTCCAATATATACATTGGCCACGGGTATACACGCGCGCGAGAAGCCACGTGACGAATTCGACAGCAAAGAAATGCGACTTCAGAGTGAACGTTGCTTCCTCGTGGATTTTTGGTCACTGAGAGTTTTGCGTCGTTTTTTTGTCCACAACATCTTGTGGTGTGCGTTGTTGTTGTTGTTTTAAACAGACCGTCTGGGCCCCCGCCATAGGAATGTGTAATGTCTATACCACCGTCTCAGAGCCGCGAAGGAATCAGCAGACGCATTGGTGGCCCAGTCCGGCCGTGCGACGGATTGGTGAACAAACGCCGACGATCATCGACCAATCCATGGCGTTGTCGACGATGTCGCGATGCGTAACATCGCCCCCAGAGTTCGTCAACAACGCGTGACCTCAACCGTTCGACTTAGCCGCTGTCCAGGGCGACGCCTCGACGCGGTGGTGGATCGATGCCAAGTGGAGGGAGCGCAACCCGCGCTCGACGGCGCCCGCATCGCACGGCTCCCCCTCTGCCCTCCCCGCACCTACCACCCACCTCGGCTCTACGAGAAGGGGTACGGGGCCGTCATCTCGCGGACACGGATCTCGCGATTCATCTTCTTGAGCTTCATCCGTCGGTTCTGGAACCAGATCTTGACCTGGCGGTCGGTGAGGTTGACCCCGCGGCTGATCTCGAGACGCCGCTCGCGCGTCAGGTACATGTTGAAGAGGAACTCCTTCTCGAGCTCCAGGGTCTGGTACTTGGTGTAGGGGCAGCGCTTCTTGCGACCGCTCTTCGCCGTCAGCCAGCCGCCCGGGGCCTCGCGCGCGGCGTCCCCGTCGCGGCCGACGACCTCTGCACGGCGAGACGGAGAGAGAGACAGGCAGAGAGAGAGAGACACAGAGAGGGAGACAGAGAGAGACACAGAGAGAGACAGACAGAGAGACGGAGAGAGAGACAGAGACACCGAGAGAGAGACAGAGACACAGAGAGAGAGATAGACAGAGAGAGAGAGAGAGACACAGAGAGAGACAGACAGAGAGACGGAGAGAGAGACAGAGACACCGAGAGAGAGACAGAGACACAGAGAGAGAGATAGACAGAGAGAGAGAGAGACAGAGAGAGACGGAGAGAGAGACACAGAGAGAAAGACGGAGAGAGAGACAGAGACACAGAGAGAGAGAGAGACAGACAGAGAGAGACAGAGACACAGAGAGAGACACAGATAAAGACACAGAGAGAGACAGAGACACAGAGAGAGAGACAGACAGAGAGACACGGGGGCAGCACAGCGTTCAGATATGTCCACCTGCTTATTATAATGTTTCTTCTTCCGTACGGCTGCTGGAGTAGATGCGGAGCAACGACAACATGATCACACTCGGGTGGTCAAGGCAGATCAGCTGGGGACGAGCAGTCTGAGCGGATCTCCGTGAGAGATATTTTGCCCGGGTTGGGTCTCGTTGTTGGCGTTTTCTCTCGATTGTTTGTGGATGTCACCCGAGCTGCGAGTGAAAACATTTTAGCGTAATTATTATAATAATTATTAATGTCGTGCTGTGTCGCAGCTTGTTCTTCATATCTGTCGACAGCGCGAGTGTAATTGTTGTCGTCGTTATTATTAGTGCTGTTCTGCTTATGATTAGCATCAGTATTTAGAATTGATTTGAACCCTGCGTTGTGAGCAGAGATTTAACAGGACTGTGATGTACTTCGATATGAAAAGGCGTTCTGTAAAATAAAGATGACTATTATTATGTTAATAGTTTTTTGAGAAGTTTATATTTTTTGTTGGGTGGGGGGGAGATACATTTGTGGGCAAAAATCTCGTCGATGTCTCCATGACCAGTTTACAACGAGCTGATTGCGCTGCGCCTGACGCGTTGCGAATTCTGATGGGTGAGTTGTCGATGGGCGCATCTCGCCTCGGGTGCGTCTGTGTGGCGTGCCCAGGTGTTCGGCATCGTGGCGAGATGTTAACTACCTCGCCTGGTATACAGGAGGGCGCGGGTTCGAGCCCGACCCTGACGCCTGCTGCTGTGTATTTGGAGTTTTGCGTGTCACTCTCTCTCTTCTGACGTGTACATTGTTCGGAAATGTTACAATCACAAGTGTATTTACCAAGTAAAGTCCACTGAGCTAACAAGGCGCTTTAGAATGGCATAGCGAAGCTGGTGTGTGCACGTGTGCACAGCGGTTAGGGCGCTGTGCTACGAACCTGGCGACACGGGTTCGATTTTCGCTTCACGGTCAACACCCAGCGACGCTCATCTGAACCGCTCCTGGATCTGGTCTCTCCTAAGTCGACTCAGCCTCAAATTAGTGCCTGGCGCGGTGTGTGAACATCGCCACTGGGGAGACAAAGGCGGCCGGGCGTGGTGCTGGCCATCCTCCCCCTTCGCGTGCCGAGCCCGCCTTCATAGGTGCTCGCTAACAGCACTTGCCCCAAGCAGTCTGTGTCAAGGCTACACATGGTGATCTTTGTATTTTGTGTGTGTGTGTATATTCACACGCGCACACACGGCAAGTTCACCGGTGACGCGCACGCGATGCTCGCAAGAGCCGCGCAATGGCCAGGAAGCCGATCGCAACGATGTGACGACGTGCCCTACCGCGTGGCCACTCCGAGGCGTTGTCGTGTCGATCCTACAGCTGCACAACACGCGCTCGGACCGGCCTCGCCACGAGACCCACCAGCACACGTGGAACCGTGACGAGTGAAATTCAGATCGTGCCGTGCATTGACTTGAAATAATAATGATGGCGTCCCCCCCCCCCCCCACTGCCCCCACCGTTTGAGGATCATGTGTCGAACATAACAATAAAACCAAGTACATACCGCACGATATGTAATATATTATATAATAAAAAAACACAATAAAACCACATCAAGCACAACAGGCTACGAGGCACACAACCAGCGGCGCGGCTAATGCAGTAAACGTCGGTGGTTTCAAATAATACGACGACTAATAATGCAATTAAACACAACGATGATGCCAACATATATCATGAACCGACGGTCTACGTTGCGCGCGGTGGATTCCAAGACAGCGATAAATAATCTCCAACACCCCCCGCCTCCTCCTCCTCCTCACCCCCACTACGAAGGCCGCGGCTTTGGGGCATCAAGTCACTTGACATGGCGCGCAATCCGCCCCCGTCGTTCCACGGCACCCCCTCGACACCCCGTCCCCCCCCCGTAACCAACACGTCTCTCTGCCGGGTTCAACCAGCCGCCGCCACAGCGAGCGGCTCGCCTCTGCTGCACCCACCTGGTGCCTTGGGCGCGCCCCCGGGGCTGAAGCCGCCGCTCTCCGCGCGCTGCGAGGGCGAACGCTGCTCGTAGCGGGAGGGTGCGACCTGGTGGTGGTGGTGGTGGTGGTCGTGGTGGTTGTTGTTGTGGTGGTTGATGGGTCCGCCCAAAGCGGGGGGCCCAGCGTGAGGAACGGAGATGGGGAGGGGGTCTGTCGGTGACCCCCGCTCCTCGGGACTGCCCCCCGGTCTGGCACCGACCCCGGCACCAATCGCCACCGGTACCGCGTCGTCGTCCAGTCCGCTGGGCGCGAAGCGAGCCGGGGATGGCGACAGCGACACCGACGTCGCCTCGGCTGCCCCCGCCGCTGCCCCCGACGCGGCGGGGTCGTGATTCAACTCGGGCGAGCGCGTGAAGGCGGCGGGCGAGACGTCCTCCAAGGCACTGAAGTCCAGAGGCTTCACCGCCACCGCCGAGGGCATTTGCCCCAGGCGAAAGTAGCCGGGCACGGGGACCCCCGCGCCTCCGTCGGACGCGGCGGCCGCGGCTGCCGAAGCCTCGGCGCCCTGCAGCTGAAGCCGCGCGTACGCCGCGTCCGTCTTGGCGGCCCGAGCCACGTCGACGGCTCCGTACAGGCAGTAGGCGTCCTCCTCCTTGACGGCGTGCGGCGAGAAGACGGCTCCGTGAGACGGCGCGCATTGGTTCGCGTCCAGCTGGCCGCATGCCCGGATCGGATCTCCCCACGATCCGCCCTCGGGCATAGAGGTCGCGTAGACAGTGGCGGGGTGGTGCGAGCCCAGAGTTAGGCGCTGCTGCTGCTGCTGTTGCTGCTGCTGCTGCTGGTGGTGGTGATAGTGGTGAACAGCGTGAGGATGGTGGTGGTGGTGGGGCGGTGGCAGGTCCGAGCGTTTGACGAGCGATTGCACGAGGCTACAATTCTGCACGGCTGCTGCGTAGCCATGCTGCTGCTGCTGCTGTTGTTGATTGTGATGATTGTGGTGGTTGTTGTGATTGTGGTGGTTGTGGTGGTGGTGGTGCTGCGAACCTGCGGCCGAGCCGGCGTAGAACAAGTCGGCGGCGGCGGCGGAGGAGCCCGCCCGACCCGCGCCCACGAGCAGCGAGTCGACGAGGAACGAGTTGGCGAGCGCCGGCGCGTTCGGAGGACACGACGGGGCCGACGGCGATGACATCTTCAGGCGCGGAGGCGGCGGCGCGAACAAGGGCTCTGGGTGATTCTTGGCATCGCAGCAGCCACCCGACATAGCAGCAGCAGCAGCGGCGGCAGCGGCAGCATCATCAGCAGATGCAGCAGCAGCAGCAGCATCATCATCAGCAGCGGCGGCATCCCGAGAAAACATTTTCAAGCGCCAGGACGAGCGCCCCCCACCCCGCTCCTCTCTCGCACTCGCGCGCGGTCACGCGCCCTGCCAGCCAATGGGGCCTTCGCGGCAGCGGCGGCAGACTCCGCCTCATTGAAGGCGTCTGGAGGGGAGATGGTGATGATGAGCTTGGAGAGGGGGGAGTCCGAAATTTAGGGTCCGAGGGGGGCACACACCCCCCCCCCAGCGCCACCACCCCGCCCCCCCGCCTCTGCCCCCCGCCTCTGCTTAACCCTCCCACCCCCCCCGCCACCGATAGCGTCTCTCGCAGCGGCGATGCGAGAGACCGGGGGAGCGAGAGACCGGGGAGCGAGGAGAATTCGCAAGCGGCGCACGTTCGTGTTGCATAACCAGCCAGGGCCCCCTTGCCCGCCGAAGGCTGTGCGTGTTTACGGCGGTAAACTCGAAATTCTCGTCCCATCAAAGCGAAGCTTCCACACCATTTGCCACCACCCCGCCCGCTATCCCTCGCCGCGTCGTCGCCTCTTGCTCCCCTGGTTGCGAGAAGGAACGAATCTTGCCGAAGCGAGAGAAGTGAAGCTTCGAGCTGGCGGGTGTGAGCAAGTCGATGCAGCTGTGTAGTGTATGTCTATATGTGTGTACACACACACGTACACGCGATGCCGTGCCCTCGAGAGCAACGTGGACGGACACGACACACGCGCATTGCGCAAAAAACCTGCGAGTACATTTTTATTTCTCCAAAAAAAAAGCCGAAACAGATGATAGCTCATGATGCTGAGTTTGATGATGAATCAAATAGATTTTCTCCGTGATTTATTCCGTCTGTTGTGAGAATATTAGGTTGACAAATGGGTGCGCGATGCCTCTAAAGGCGGTATGTACGTTATTTATTTGATATAATATTATTAAGTGGAGTTTTTATTTTTTTAATACCCAACTAACACGTCACGTGACTCTTTCCAATACACGCAAGTTCAGATCTGTTTTGTTGTTGTTGTAAATTCCAGCCGGAGCAGTCATAACGCCCAGGGCTTGTAACGTGAATTTTCACCTTTTGGGAAGATTTGGGACGAACACATGAAGAGTCAAAACAGTGCAAATTGTGATGCTCCTCACGCACATACACACATACACACACACGCACATACATACACACATACACGCACATACACACATACACACACACATACACACATACACACGCACATACACACACATACACACGCACATACATACACACATACACGCACATACACACATACACACACACATACACACATACACACGCACATACACACACATACACACGCACATACATACACACATACACGCACATACACACATACACACACACATACACACATACACACGCACATACACACACATACACACGCACATACATACAAAGACAAAGATCCCCCGTATAGCCTTAACAGACTGTAGGGGCAAGTGCTGTTAGCGAGCACCTATGAAGGCCTACATACATACACACACATACACACACACATACACACACATACACATACACACGCACAAACACACACACGCACATACACACACACATACACACATACACCCACATACACACACGCACACACACACATATACACACATACACACACACACGCACACACATACACGCACGCGCACGCACGCGCGCACCAATTCAATTCGTTTTACGAGAATAAATGTAAACGTTTGATGAAGGTCAGTCGGAACCCGATATCAATAAAAGTCACCTACATGAAAAAAATAACGCCGATGTTACACACACCGTGTTAACAACAAAGATATCATGAACAACAACAACAAGATATCATAAACAACAACAGCAAAGAACAACAGTCGCACAGAATTAACCCGAGGTTAGTTTTATTGGCAGCAAAGAAAGTAGCTATATATGTGCTTATAACACACGAGAGACCACAGCGCGATCGGCAAAGTTATTCCACCTAAAGACGGAAGCTTCTGTTGCCTCCGAAACGTCGTGATTTTTATTTTATTTTACTTTTATTTATTTTAATGTTTTACCTACGTGACTTTACCGAAAAAACCTAAGAATATTATTCTATGGCGACCATCACTCGATATAAATATATTTTGGGCAAAACTAAATTGGAAAAGCCATGCAATAAAACATGTTAATGGTGGAAATATGAAGCCGTCCGCTTAGAGGCGAACTCCAATGTAAATGTCATCAACAGACCCATCGTGTGAATATTTATCAGTATTATGATTACGGGTTTAGCGCGTGCACTGCCCACATTCCGACAGGCACGATCATCTTATTTGTTACCCAATTAACGATTCATTCAATGCTCAGTGCATTCTCAAAGCTTGTTGACCGCATTTCGTGTCGATGTAACGGATTTTCTTTAATTTGGAACCATTGGTGACGTTAAGATCTGACCAGACAGACTTTGGGCTATCGTGTATCGCCAGGGGCCGCATGTGTGGGCTTCGGGGTGGCGACGTTTGCGCATCGCAACCGGGACCTCATTTGACGCTGAGTCGACCTAGTGGAGGCCCAGGACCGGTTCAAATAATCGTCACTGGGTGTTGGCCATGGGCGGGAATCGAACTCGGTTCGCCGGGCTCGTAGCGCAGCGTGCTCACCGCTACCATACCGCTCCCTACTACACCCAGATGCACGCAGATACACACACATCGTTCATACGTGCACATATATGTATATATGTGCACGCACAGTGGGAGGCTATCTCCTGAATGCGTTACAGACACTCAGGCAGGCGCGCCGTGCTATGGAAGTGTATCCGCAACGCGGATGGAGCCAACAGCGATAGCGCGATATATTTACTGAACAAATCCGATCCGTCGGTGATTGAGGCTCACAAAACCCAGCAATTAATAAAAAAAAAACACGCCGTGCTCGCGTTGCGTCGGTCGTAAGAATTTCGGACTCGCGTGGACAACTTTCCTGCGTAACCTGTAGAGACAGGTTTTTTTTTATTTTGTTGTATTACCCAACTCATCACTCGCCCACTCACTCGGCTAGCGCGTGCCGATGTTCGCATGCACGGAGTTTTCGCAGCGGCGGTGCAACGAACGGTCATCCGCACTGCGTGGTGACACCCAGCCACGGCCAGCAAGCAGTGGCCAGCGAGACTTCACCAAAGATCCCTCGTGCAGCAAGTGCTGCTCGCGAGCACCAATGAAGGGCGGCACGGCACACGATGGGGGGTGAGTGGCCAACGCCACGCCCGGCCGCCTTTGTCTCCCGAGTGGCGATGTTTGCACACCGCACCAGGTACTCATTCGAGGCTGAGCCGATCTAGGGAAGGCCCAGGATCGATTCAGATACTCGTCACTGGGTGTTGGTGACCGTTAGCGGGAATCGAACTCGGGTCGCCGCCGGGTTCGTAGCGCGGCGCGCTCACCGCTCTGCTAACGCGAACCTCACCCCACTCACCCACCAGCCCCCAGCCCGCTCATCAACACCCTACTGACCAGCGTGGTGAAGTATGGCTATGCACAATCCTCTACGACATCCACACATTGTTTGGCGATTCTTGTTGGCTTTGGCATTGGTACGGAATCACAGTTCACAACAACAACACACAGCACACGCACCAACAACACTGTGGCATTGGAAGACACTAATTATACAATTGGCAACGTTTCATAACGCATCGTATGACATCCCATCATGATGTGGCCCCGGGGAGGGGTTCATCCAGCAGTGGATTGACAAAGGGATGTTGAGTATATAATGATAATACTTGTTGCTAATGTTATTGCAGTGTCGTAACTAAACATTCCACATTGAACTTGGTGGTCGGACTGATGCGCCACATGCGGGAATGCCACCCGAATTAAACAATGAGCAGTGATGTATTATAGATTTGAATTTCAAAAAGGCACATTAGCTTATTAGATTTTAAGCTAATTACCCACTTATATACGATACATTTAGTTTCAACCAATGCAATTGTGATGAAGTGTAGATTTCCCCCTCCCCTGTTACCGATCGCTGCGGAGTTGTAGATCTCTGCCCAACGGGGACGCCTTTAGGAATCTCTTTTCCTTTGTTAATAAACTTTTCACATCGATTGATGTGATGTGATTCATTTTCCAGAATTCGTTTCCGGAATATCTCTTTTTTGTTCATCAATTTGATTAGCGGATGCATTTAAGGAATTAGACTTTGGGGAGCTGGCGGGGGGGGGGGGTTGAATAATTCCTCGCTGGAGGATTCGTTATATTTTATAATATTAATGAAGTACCTTAACCGCTGCTTAAAATCACCTGGGCAAGGCAGACGCTTCGGCTAATTTACATCCACGGGGGCTATGCAATTATTCATGAGCAGTGTAATTCACGCAGCACATTTCATGATTATGCGTTCTAAAACTTGGACATTAACGTTAATTGCAATAGTTTTCGCGATGCGCTCGGCAATGAATGAATAAATAAAGCACCGCACTCACAATGAATACGCTGCAAACGTGCAAAAATTATTGCCACAATGTCATCTCACAACTGAGCGGTGCTAAAGTGGTTACATTCCATCACGTCATCTCTTAAATCGTATTCAATTATTTAGAAGCGAATATGGAATTCGACGTATCATATTAATTCACGTAACATCCTGTACAATAATTACAATAATGCCATGCTCCCACGTCCAGGCGATTCAATGTATACGGAGAGGAAACGAAGTAGTAATGCTCGCGAATATGATTCATGTGCCCGAGGGTATATCACAAAGCAATGAAGCGCTGCCTCGGCGAATTGTGGGTAATAGGATACAAACTACGGCGCCTCGGAGACGACACGCGCACAAAGACCCCCCCCCCCCACTAACCAGGAGAACCTCCAACAGACTGCTGCTGTTGGTGCACAGGGGCCGTCTGTAGTTCTCCAGCACTTTCTACGAACCGCACAGCGCGCCAGGCAAATGCCGTTTGGGTCGAAGGAGGCGACGCATGGGGCCGGATTTAACTATCCGCCACTGTCATTGTCGGTTGTGAGCGCGCGTCCAACTCGGGGTCTGCGGGTTCGTAGCGCATTGCGCTGCGAACACAAAGCAATGCCCCGTGACGACTGAACGGGCGGCGGTGGCGGGGCAAGTGCTCTCCGCGAGCAGCGATGAAGACCGGAGCGGCACGCCACGGGGTGGGTGGCCAGCACCACGCCCGTGCCGCCTTTGTCTCTTCCCAGTGGCGATGCTTAACACACCGCACCAG